CTCTCCCGGTCTCTCTCCGCAGCGCATGACGGACAAGTGCTTTCGGAAGTGCATCGGGAAACCCGGCGGAGCGCTGGACAACTCGGAGCAGGTGAGCGCGGTCGGGGAGAAGCGGGGACCCGCGGGCCGCCCCCCGGGGTGACCGCTGATTGCTCTCTGTCCCGCAGAAGTGCATCGCCATGTGCATGGACCGGTACATGGACTCCTGGAACACGGTTTCCCGAGCCTACAACTCTCGGCTGCAGCGGGAGCGAGCGAACATGTGAAGCGCCCGGCTCCTGGAGCTGGGAGGGACCATGTGGGGAAGGGACGAGCGGCCAGTCCAGGTGGCTGGGGGTAAAATCCTGCTGCCTTTCCAGCCCCTGCCATGGCTGAGCAATAAACCCTCCCTGAACCTTTTGCATCCATTGGCTTTTATTAGCACCAGCCCCAGGAACGAGTGAATTTTCCAGCCTTGAGAACCACCGTGAGCTGCTTGGTTTGCCTCATGCCCTTCCCAACGGTCCAGACTGGCCAAGGTGTATAGCAGCTGGTAATTCCCTGCTGAAAGGGCTGCATGAGGCAAGGAGCCTTCTGTGGAAAAGGGGAACCAGGCCAGCAACACAGTGCCCTTACCCAGGAAGCAAGCATGGACCCAGCCATCAGGTAGTTACCCAGTCCCTTCTCATCAGTGGAAAAGCTGCTGTAAGATGCTCCCCACGCCACACTTGGCTCTTCCTTCCCTTGTGTTGTGTAGCTGTGTGTGGGGCTCGCAGGCTTTGACTCAGCTCAAGCAGTATGTTGGGGAGCAGGGGTGCTCTTACTAGGTTTGCAGCACAGCCTTGCAAATAGTTGTAGAAGCACAACTGGGGATGAAGAGGGTTGGGAAGTACTTAAGTTGATTTCTTTATAAAATAAAATGCGCTGTGTGGCTCTGTGATATTCTGTAACTTCTGGTTTGGCTCTGGCACAGACGTTCCATCTTGAATCCTACCTTCTAGGCATCATTTTTTTGAGGGAGGAGCACTTCTACAACAGAGGCCTTGGCTCTGCTTTGGGGCTGAGCTCTGTTTTGTTCTCGGCTTATACACCTCTCCTGGAAAGGTCAGTTTGTGCTGTGTGGTCAGCGAAGGGCACAGCAGCTGGAAGAGGAGAGTTGGAGATTAAAAGTGCCCGTGCCCCTGTAGTGAGATTTTTGAAATCCCTTCTTTTGAAACTCTTCTGTATTTTACAAAATGCTTCACTGCTGGGGCAAGGAGACAAGACTGGAAGGATGACGTCTCCTTAGCTGCTAGGACATTCAAAGGGATGTGGGAGAACCTGATTTTGTTTAATATCCCAAAGTGGTGGCTTCTAAGAAAGGACTAAAGTGTTCTCATAGAAGATAAAACTATTAGGAGATAACTGGATATTTGGACTCTTTGAAACTGAACTGGAGTTTCCCATCCAGACTGGGCAGTGACTACTTGAAAATAAAGTGCTTTCCAGCCATGTTTGCTAAAGGGCCTTTTTACTTTTCTTTATGGCTGTATGAATTTTGTCGTACTGGCTGTGCAGCTGATGGGAGCATCCCACAAATGTTCCAGACATGGATCCAAGTCCCCTTTGAGCTGAGCCAAGCCAGGACTCCCACCTTGAGCTGGGAAAGTGGTGGATCTCACTGCCAGCTGGACTGGGAAAGAAGAAAACTCTTCCTACAACCAAACACAGAGCTTAAGTGCCAAGGACTAGGAAAGGGTTTGGGGGACGTAGCTGCTGTTCAGCTTTGGTGGTCAAATCCATGAGGAGGTGTCCAAGTCTGTGTGAGACTTGACACGTGAGCTCTGCAGCAGTTTTTTCTTGTGAACAAAGGTGTCTGCGTGCCTTGTGCTGACCTGTGGGACCTGACTTCTCATGGAGGGAGTTGCATCCTTAGGCCGCTGTCTCAGCACTTTGAATTTTTCCCACCTGGCTTAACCAGAACAGTGGTCTGTGTGGCTGTGCCTTCATCTTTGTAAATTTTATCACCTGTTCCTTTAGGCAAAGGGAGCTGGGGGTGTGGAGGGTGTGAGAAGCCTCTCCTGAGGCTCCAATACAGATGAGGACCTGTGCAGTCTTAAGTCCAAATACCAGAATTGCCTGGGTTGGAAAAGCCCTTTAAGCTCATCAAGTCCAACCATGAACCCAACACTGACAAGTCCCCGACTAACCCATGTCCCTCAGCACTGTGTCTACACGACTCTTCAATCCCTCCAGGGATGGGGACTCCACCACTGCCCTGGGCAACCCCTTCCAATGCCTCAGAACCCTTTCAGCAAAGAAATTCTTCCTCACATCCCATCTCAACTGCCCTGGGCACAACTTGAGGCCATTTCCTCTTGTCCTGTCCCTTGGTCCTTGGTTGAACAGACCCACCCCCACCTCTCTCCACCCTCCTTTCAGGGGCTTGGACAGAGCCACAAAGTCTCCCCTCAGCCTCCTTTTCTCCAGGAAAATGTTTTGGTCCTACCTTCTCTTAGGATCAAATGATGAGCCAGGGGATCATCACCGAGCTTACCAGTACCATTGAGTGGGAACAGTAGCACACCCTTTCCAAAAGCCATTGCCCAACGTGAGGGCTCCATCAAGGCAGAGAGGTCTGAGGCTTCTGCAAGGGCGTAACTCTGGGCTGGGGTAGAAGTTCACTTGTCTCTTGGCTTGGCTTTGGGATTATGGCTCATAGACAGAGGTTAGACAAAGTACGTGAATCTCTGGCAGATGCTTTTGGCACCTCTCCAACTAGAAAGGCAACGTTATAATGCATAGGATGTTTGGCCAGGTCTTAAGATGGGAGAGGCCTCATTTATTTATAGAAAATGTCTAGAATTGTACATTTCTATGCAAAGCAGTTATCAAATGCCCTGGTGCAGTCGCAACTGCAGTGGTTCACATGACACTGGCATTTGCTTAATACCTGCAGATCATCCTCACCCCTTTGCAGCATCCAAAAAAAAATGTACAATAGCTGAGGGGTTGGTGCATCCTCTGGCAGTTGCTCTTCTCATTCGTCGCCTTCCCTGAGTGGTGAAATGCAGCTTCAGAGCTTGAGGTTCTGCATGATCCAGCCCTGGACAGCTGTGACTTTGGTGTAGACACCAGGGAAATATGGCCTGGCACAGCCATAGCCCCAGCTTGTGATTCCTGCTAGAAACCACTTCCCTGAGGGTTCTTTACACGCCAGAGGCCCACCTGCATCGCCCTGCAGAGAGAGGAAAAGGGTTCTGCATCAAACCTAAGGCAGCCCGGTCCTCTCAGCTGTGAGATGTTCGTTCTCTCTGGGACACAGGAGCGTTTGCTGTCCTGTTCCCCACCTCCCCAGGAGCCTGCTTCCAAGCTGGAGCGCTGCTCCCTGATGTCCTTGCATGCACAAGCTGAGGTTGGGGCTCTGGGACATGGAAGAGCATGTTTGGAGGCACAACAGGGTCATGAAAGGGGGTCTGTGGTCACCCTGTGGTGTCTTGGTTGGCATTACCTCTGTGTGGTCCCCTGACCTGTCACAGGCTGGTGGGGAAGCAGAACGAGGTGTCTGCAGGATGGACTGGGCTAATGGCAATGGCCAGTGGAGATGGATGGACAGACAGCTGAGCTGGGGAGGCAGGGCAAGGTCCTCCTGAGAGAATATGGCCCAGGGACTTGGCACAAGGTGGCTCTGTCCCAGCTGCAGCGTTTGCTGCTCTCGCACTCACTGAACAACTGTCGACGGTGCCCTGCGGGAAACCGGCACACACCATCCTGCTGCTGATCTGCACGGGGTAGAACTTCTTGCAGGCCTGGTCGCTGATCATGTTCACTGCTGCTTTCTGCAGGTGCTTTGACATGAGACCTGAGGAGACAAATATCACTGGGGTAGCTTGGTGCAGAGCACCTGAGAAGCAGCAGCACCTGTAGGAACGGAGTCTCTGTGGCCTCGCTTGCCAAAGGGAGAGTGGGACAGTGAGTCAGGCCTGGTTCCTCCCAGCAGAGCAAGCACAGGAAGGTCCCTTTGGTGTGTGGTTTGTCAGGCACCTTGGCTGACACGTGAAATGGTATCAGGGTGGTCTTTGTACTGCAGGAGCAGAGCTGGAGCAGCTGCTAGAGATGGGGAACACAGTGGCTGGCATGTAGAAAGCCTGGGAAGGCTGCAAGAGGGCAGGTGTCCCCTGCAGGGTCCAGCCTGGCATGGGGAGTGGGAATTGCAGGTGTTTGGGCTTGCAGGGTAGGTGGCACTTAGCCTGGCCATCGTGGGTGTGAGGGAGCCCTCTCAGCCAGTACCTCCTTCCTTCGTGGAGCCCCAGCCTGTGATGAAGCATCTGGCTCCTTCATGGAAGATGTGTGAATTGTCTGGGAGACATATAGGTTTGATGGTGTTGCTGAACTTGACGGGTGTGTTCAGCTCGAGCAGTGCCACGTCGTAGTCCAGGCTGTAGACGTTGTAAAAAGGGTGCTTGTAGATACGGAATATTTTCTCCATTTTGCCATCCATGCCATTCAGGAAGGGTGTTCCTAGAAATGCCACCCACATTTTGGGGTCACTGTAACTGCGGAAAGACAGCAAATCTGGCTGTTAGGACACGGTCTCACAAGGAGGGCTGTTCCTCCACTCGTGGGGCTGGGATGCACTATGGCCACACCTTGTGAGGCCAAGACCTCTGTCTCCATCATGCCATGGACATACCCAGGCTTTGCCCCGCTCTTTCCTTTCCACACTTACCTGGAGGGCACATCTCTAACAGGGGGGCTGTGCTTCCAGTGGGGCACAGCCCCCCAGCCGTGGGGCTGGACTGCGAGGGAGGGGAAGGGCAGGTGGGCTGCCAGGAGCGAGGCCAAGAGCCCATCTCAGACTTACATATCAAAGCAGTGAGCTGCGGAGAGCAGCCAGCGGTCGGCGATGAGGACAGCCCCGCACTTGTGCTCCTTCCGCCGAAGCCAGAGACTGACTTGCCAAGGCCACTCTCCTCGAGCCGCGGTGCTGCCACCCACTATCTTGCTGAAGGCCAGGGCGGTTGTTAAGCCACAGTCTGGGACAGAAGAAGAGGAACCGTGGTTTTAAGTAACCCTAAGTGAAAGGGCTACAGAGATGATGAAGGGGCTGGAGCATCTTTCTGATGAGGAAAGACTGAGAGCTGGGGCTGTTGAGTCTGGAAAAGACTGAGAGGGGACTTTATCAATATCTAAAGTCAAGAGGATGGGGCCAGACTCTTCACTGGTGGCCAGTGATAGGACAAGGGGCAACAGGCACAAGCTGGAACACAGGAGGTTCTGCTTAAAGATGAGGAAAAACTTTACTGTGAGGGTGATGGAGCCCTGGGACAGGCTGGCCAGAGGGGGGGTGGCTCTGGAGATGTTCAAAACCGACCCAGATGTGATTCTGTGCAACCTGCTGTAGGGAACCTGCTTTGGCAGGGGGGTTGGACTGGATGATCTCCTGAGCTCCCTTCCAACCCCCACCATGCTGTGATTCTGTGGAAGGGATATCTGCCCTCCTTCCATAGCCGTGGGCCATGGGGCAGCCTTCTGGGGTGACAAGACACAGGGCAGTAGGATGTGAAGAATTTCATTCCCTATCTGAGGCAAGGCTGGGCAGACATGGTATGGTTTGGGAACTTGTACTTGTTCTCACAGATGACACCTTCCAGGAATGTGGTATGTGAGGTGGGGACATTTGGATGGACTGGCTGAGCTGTCACACAGCAAGGAATATGCAGTCCAAGGGGCAGCCTTGGGGATGACAAGACATCTTCTGGGCTGCCACCTTGTGCAGAGCTGTCTTGCCAGCTGGTACTAGCAGGGTGACTGGCCAGGAGGCCTCTGTGCTGGGAAATGGGTTCTGATGTTTACAGCACAGGAGAGGAGGCCACATTCCCTGGCAGAAAATTTGAACCTTTCTCAATCCAGCTTTCTCTTATTACAGGCTCTGGCAGAAAAAGTAGGACTTGGACCACAAGAAGCTGGCCCAGGCACCCATTGTACAATGTGGGGCCCAAGAGAGCCCACGTGAAGTGGGTGGGTTGCACTGGGGAGTCTGGGTGATGTAGAAGAAGGCTGGGCAGCAGCTGCAGGCTGCAGAGCAGAACTCACCACAGTTGCGCTCGTCGAAGCCGTTGCTGCAGTCAACAACACCATCGCATTCGGGATTTTCTTTTCCAATACAGACGTTGCTGGAACACTTGAAGGTGAGGCTGGTACAAGGCACCACTGGAAGGCAATAACCCATGGCCTGCTCAGTGCCCTCTGTGCTGGGGCTGGAGGCCTCCTACCAACATGGCAATGTCATCAGTTTTACCTGGGGTCCGGGTGGGCTTGGCAGGCTCAGTGGTTTTCAGAGCTGTGGAGTTTTCTTTCATGGTTGTGGTAATTTTCATCCCGAGGGTGGTTCTGTTGATTGGACTTTCAGCTGTTGTGCTGGGCTGGTGGGTGAGGATGGCTGCAGTAGAAGTTCTAGTGAGGACTGAACTGGAAGGCGTGCCTGTGCCAGGACTGGGCAACTGGGAGATGGTATCCTGGATCCAGTCTTTGAGTTTGGTAATTCTGGAGTACACACCAGGTTTCATAGCCTGGGCACAACCAATTCCCCAGCTCACGATGCCAGCAAGATAAAACACTCCTGGGGTCACCTCACAGGCCAAGGGTCCACCTGAATCTCCCTGAGGAAGAAGCAAGGCAATGGCTGCTCAACCCAATCTCCCCAAGACAGGTCTACATGGAGCTGCCCCTCAGCCACACTGGGAGGACTTAGGTAGCCCCACGCTCTTCTTTCTCCAGCCCTGTGGGGCTGTCTGCTGCCACGCAGTGTGTGTGCAAGACATGAGTGTGCAGAGACTGAAAGTAGGGTCAACGGCTCAACGTGGCTGCACAGATACAAGTGGCATTTGCCATGGAAGTTAACAGGTTCTTTCTACACGTGAAGGACAGCCACCAACACCTCCCACTGTCTTGCTGCCGCAAGAGACCTGCTCCATCCAGGACTCCAGTCTGGCCAGATAGAGCAGTGGGATGTTGGTTTAAGTCATGTTCAACTTGATGGAGCTTTATTTACTTTTCTAAAGCTCCAAGGCAGTGGGCTGGGTTTATTGAGTTAAGGTACCTGTGGGTTCCAGCCTGGCCACAGCAGCTCGGTAAATATTTGCCAAGGATGTGCTGAGGCTGAGTTAGCCCAGCTTTCTGGAACAATCCACAAGGGAGTAGAGAAATCCCAGACTCTTACCTGGCATGAGTCTATTTTCCCCTCCAGGAAGCCAGCACAGATCATTTGGTCAGTGAGGGAGAAGTTGTAGAGGAAGTCGCAGGTGTTCTGGTCTATGATGCTTACAGAGGCCTTCTGCAGGATCTCAGGCTTGGTGACTGCATGAAAACCACGGGGTTAGCAAGTGCAGCAGAGGGAAGTGGGAACTAACGGCTTTTCACACAATCCCAGAATCATCTCGACTGGAAAAGCCCTTTAAGATCATCAA